TATATATATATATAAAGAGGATGGTAAATTCGTTAAATTACAAAACTTTACAAAGAAAATGGTCATAGAGGCAACATAGCAATCTATAACCATAGATTTCATGCTAACATCTAGAGTAAAGGAATCGAGTTATATGCGACTTTTAAAGTAAGTTAATTTTTATTTTTTTATTTTTTTTATGTCACTTATATTTTAAAATGTAATGTCATTTTACTTGCCCCATCAACTATGGGTTTAATGTCAATTCACCTTCTGCAGAACCCTAGCAATTTCGTTCATGTTTAAAGAAGACGACTAAAATTAAACTAAATAAATAGATATAATCTCTTTAACAACTTATAAAAATTTACGTTTTAAAATTGTGCATGAATCGAGCGTTTGAAGATAAAACAAATCCAACCTCCAATCAAGTGGGGTGTGGAAAACAGTATTCACTCTTGCACACATGTCCAGAAACTGTAAAAAAAAAATTGAAATAAATGTTGCACCTAAAAAATTAATCTAGAGAGAGTACTTGTTCAAACTTTATTTCCCCATATAATAATAGAGTGTACATGACACATAAATTAAAATGCATAATATTACAGTACAAACCCAATAGGACTTCAAGATCAAATAAAAAGAACAAAAAGCTGAAAAAAAAATTTTTTTAATTAAAATAGACCAACAATGAGAGCTAGCCATTAGCCAGCTCAAACATCATACATCAACATGGCAGTTCTTAAACTGAATAGCATTTCCAACACCAGCGTTAGCTGCGTTATTGTTATTATTACCAGAATTTATATAAGCCGGACAGTTCACATACAAATGATATGTCCCAGATACGAATTTTCCGACTCTCCATCGTACTTTTATACTCATCTTAAAGTTAATCAACACCATTCCGACCATTTGCTCTTGGTTCAAAGAAACAGCAAGGTATGGCGCCAATGGCACTTCATTCCCGCACAAAATTGGCGACCAAACTGTCATTTCTTTGTGTCCCTGATAAGTAGAAGAGAGCATTGTGGTGGGGGTAATTTGTTGGCCGTGGTACGAGGCATATACTTCAATTTTATCGTAGTATATGCTGATTCTGCCATTAGGGTTGCGGGAGGAGAGGCTGATTTGAAGATTGGAAGTAAGGAGGTTGGGGGCGGAGAGGCTGAAGGAATTGACGGTGGCACCTTGGAGGATGAATTGAGGCTTTGTAGGGCGGAGGATGAGCCATATAATGAAGACGGTGGAGCCGACGGTAACTATGAAGCTGATTGTGCCGATCAAGAGGTAAATATAGATCTTCTTCTTTCGTTTGTGGTGGCAGCAATCTTTCTTCATGTTTTGGTAAGGGAGCAAGGCCTGGGTGAGAAAAATGGTTCAAGGTTGTGTCTAAAAATTTAGGGGGTTATGTTTTGCCAAGACTTTTAGCATTTGATAGGCACTCGACCTTAATGTATTAAATAGTGCAAACATAATAACCATTAATTTTATTTTTTTTTCAAAAAAATATTCTTTAATTTTGTTCTTTATTATCTCATTTAACTACACCTTCAATTTTCTTCGGCTTTGATGCCTTCAAATTTTTATTTTGTCTTTTTATGGTGATGATTGATAAATGCTTTGCTTAATTCTATACAAATAATTACTTTATCGTTAGCGGTTATCTACTTAATTTAATCATCTTTTCAACAGAATTTTTACAGGGCCTTCATTTCGATATACGATTTATTGCTTGGAGTTAAAAATGTTAACAAAACAGTGAATGTGTCACTTCTTTTCTTTAGTAAAATCCATTAAATTCGCTATTTATATTTTCTAAACGATTAGCAGTGAGATATTTCGATTAGTATTAGTAAATGATTTTCTAAACAATTTTAAAAAATGAGTAATAATTAGGTATATTATGCAATGAACCAGCCAAAATTATATAATTTTTATATGTCCTCGTGCATAAGGAAATTAATGAAGTCAAACTTTTATAGGTACAATTATTCTATCTCGTGACACGCCTATTGACTTCAAACATGCAGGGCAATTTTTTTCAACTTTTGGTACATTATGATACGAAAATTCTTTTGATCCAATCCTTTTAAGTCGAACCACTTCTTTTAACACTTCAGAATACTATAGAGATACAAAATTAATTTATTTAAATTTTATATTCAATGCCCTCTTCATATGACTCTACAAGAAAAATAATTATTCTTCGTAACATTTTTATGAAGAAACACCGTGGTATAAAAAATATTTGTGGTGTCAATAATTATGAGAAACCTTTCCCTGAGAACACCAAGGCAAAAAAAGATTCTTTTTGGGTCCCACATGGCGCAATTTTGATCAATTTGTAGTAGCGAGACTTGAACACAATATCATTGAATCAATTAGACCGAATGACAGTAGGAAATTGCGTCCATACTTCCACATTATGATATTTTCGTTTAGTGTCTTTCTATGACATTTTTCTACACAATGGCTAAAGATTTTGGCGAAGTATAATGGATTCCATGCATGCAAAGATTCCATACATAATTGGATCAAGACTAGAGTATCTAACCTACCATCATGGCCCTTTCATTAATTAAATGAAAAATGCTACATGTGCAGATTGTTTTAACAGATGGGATTAACCCCGTCTAGCATTTCTCTAATTGCATCAGGAAATTAGTAACTCGAATTGAATTGTTTACTTTACTCGTGGCATATTTATTAACTTGTGAACTGAACCATAGTAATAAAATTGAAAAGAAACTAAAATTAAAATTATATTAGATGTCAAGTTCGACCCCTCCTTTTTTCCCAATTACTTTTGAAACACTCCTAAATTCGAAAAGAATAATTGGCACAAAATGTATCTGCCATTTCTATGTTTTGTGCAAATCAACAATTGGTTGCTTTTAGTGTGTGTTGCTTTAGAATGAAAGAATGGAGCTAACTGACGCAGATCATGGAATATGAAAATAATAGAGGTGCTTTGTGCCAATTTAGTGCAAGTATGAACTATGGAGCTCTCTGATGTAGGAGGTGGACATTGTACATGGTGCCATAATATATTGTGCATTGAAATGATAGAAATATTATATATGGATGAAATATTCCTTAACTTTTACTATTCAGCCTAACCTTTCATGTTGCCGCAAAAACCCCCAAATCAACAAAACATTTTGGAATACAATATTTGCTTTCATTTTCTCCACAAAGCCTTGTTTTAATTGAGATTCCTATGCACTTTTAGATCATGACTGCAATTAGTAGTTGTTGTTTTTTTTTTTTTTCCTTTCTAAAGATGATGGTAAATTCGTTATTTTACAAAACTCTACAAAGAAAATGGTCGAAAATATTGTATTCCGTAAGTTCGGCTGTCGGCTGATTAGTAGAATTGCATCAAAATGAAAGGTTAGGGATATTGTGCAAAAGAGTAAAACTTAGAGGGTATTTAATCAATTGCCCTAAATTTTATTGAAGAAAGGGAAGTAGATCACAATGTATGAAGACGGTCAATTCTTTTGACGACATTTTTAATTATGCAATTTGAAAGTTAGGAGAGCTTAATTAATTCTGTCCATTTAATAAAGAAATTGAAAGCAAAAGATTAACCGATTAATATATAATATAAGGATTGCCGGTTGTAAATTTTGTTTAATGTTCTTAGTCATATTATGTCTATCGTAATGAAAATGACCTAACTAAGTCGAGACCAAGGAATCTGATGTGTGCATGTTGGTCTTTATCTTTCAAACCTATATTTTTATTATTTTCACTCAATGTAACAACTATCTATTTAAATTGCGATTGATTGAAATAGTTTTTGGTGACAATATGATAATAAATGACCAATCTCACAGAGTTTCCGCTTAAATTATGCAGCTTCATGGAGGATGGCGGTAGGGCCATCGGTGGTGGTCGTTAGGGGTGGAGCTAGAAAAAGACATGATGATCTTTTAAAAATTAAAAAATTAAAAATAAAAAAATTCATATGAACTCATGATATTAGAGATGCTGTACGCCGCACGAGATCTAGTTTAGAAGGCTAAGCTCATAAAATTCATGACAAAATTGATCAGATACTCGAGACAGCAATTGACACTTCAGCCAAAATACATGAATTTATGTCACTGTTCTCAAATTACAATCTGATATAAGCATCAATTTCTTTTATACCAACATATTCAAATACCACTTGAAGTGAAGAAAATCCTAATCAAGAATATCGACGGTCCAAAGATTTTAAATTTATTTCACATTCATATTTGATTAATTTCAATAATATAATTGTAATCAAATGAATTTATAGATAAATAATTTTTTAACAAATATTCTTTTAACTTACAAAATTAAATATAGAGCAAGTTACGTATTTTAATAATTGCATCTAATTCATAGTCAAAACAAGTAATTTTTTACACATAAGTATACGAATAGGTAATATATAATAACATAACAAGAAACAAAACTTTAATTATTTTTAAGCTTAACCTAACATGTAGCATCTCTTATTGTTAAATAATATGAATAGGTAATATATAATAACATAACAAGAAACAAAACTTTAATTATTTTTAAGCTTAACCTAACATGTAGCATCTCTTATTGTTAAATAAGCAATTTATTTTAGTTTTAATCAAAAAAGAATATTATAATTATAAAACTTATTTAATTATATGTGAGCTTTTTAATCTTAGCCATAGCTTTAATCAAAAAAGAATATTATAATTATAAAACTTATTTAATTATATGTGAGCTTTTTAATCTTAGCCAAATGTGCATGAAATAAAATAAGGCAGCATCTTGACTTCTGCGGTGTGCAAGTGATAAGAGACATGAATGCTTAATTTACTTGATGGAGACATCACAAGACATAGTATGGGGACGAAAGTCATGTTGGTGGATGGATTGATGTGGGTTTGTGTTCGACAGTATTGTGATCTTGTTGTCCATTGGTTTTTCAGTCTTTGAATTCTATGGAAAATCACGCACAAGGAAAGTAGATGATGGCGGTCAGAGGCAGTTATTGTTGAAAGTGCGGTATCGACGGACTAAAATGAGAAACCTTGACTCCATCACACATTGTCTGCTGATATTCGAGTCAACAGACATGGTAAGCGGAAATAAACATGAAAATCCAAAATTTCCCTTGGATTTGAAGGCAAATTTTCAATTACAGTTCAGACAGGGAGGGTGCCACAATTGAACAAGTTTGATTCATATCATTTAGAGAAATTAGATCATCATTAACAGAACTGCGTTCATGGGATCTGCTCTATTACAATTCAATTTAATTTTCTCATTCATAGTTAATTATAAGCACCATGTTTTACAGATATGTTCAATAGATCATAATGAACCAAGCTACTGACTCAATAATACTTTTTATGCCTTAAATACTGTCAAGTATTTTATACTCCAAGCCACGAGAAACAAAGATTCAATCAAGTTACAACGATTAATCCTCAAGAATCAAGTTATGCCAATTCTCATAAGAGAATAACCCTTTCCAAGCCACATTGAATGAAGATATCTCATATCCCTTCACATCTTAAGATCATTAGTATCAGAGAAATTGTTCTACATTGTCTATGTGGACCGAGAAAAGAAGGGCTCGATATCGATATACATTATGAAATCAATTTCCTTCCAATTTACAACATAGATTCTAGCTATGCAATGTCTAATCCTCATGCCTATTCGAATGGGTCATCCTTCCGCATGTGCGGAATTTTTTTGCATGCAAGGCAAGAGTTGATCGATGGACAATAAAATAACGACAACAGAGCAAACTATAGTGATAATTGATGCAAGATTCGGAAGGGAGAATTCTCTTATAAGAGTACAGAAAAAATGAGAAATAGGATGTAGAGTTTAAAGTGTTGTATACAAAAGATTATTACAACTACAATGCGGAATGATAAACTCTCAAAGTGTAAAACCGAACCAAAACCGACTCAAAGCTTCTTCAACACCACCAATGAAGTGTTCTTGATGTTGAGCTCAGATTTGTGTCACATCGGATCATGCATCATCTTCCACGGGAATGGCAATGGATATACCGAGAAAGGATCCGTCGGAAGCCACCAAGAATTTCGCCGGAGTTTTGGAAAGCTCCCACTTGATTACCTCTCTATGCTTTCTCTCAAATGTTATGCCAAGTCCAAGTAGAGAGAATGAATATGTCTTGAAATTATAGAGCCAATTTATTTGAATTCAAAATTCAAATATTGTACTATGGTCTAGAGAGTGACAACACTAGTATAGGTAATTGACAACTAGATTAAATCCAACAATTGGATTTAATCTATGGTCCATATCATCCCATAACTAGCACAATCAAAGTCACATTCTCTAGACCAATCAACTTGCACCAATACTATGTTGTGATCCATCTTTCAAATTTTCACCTTGGATCACATAACATCCATCGCCAAATTCCCCGGTTACAAGTG